TGTCAGAGTTCAAATTGGAACTAAATTTTTTCTGACTCGACATCCTGCTTTATGTACTGTAGTACTGTCTGAGCACTAGAGGTATTACTCCAAGTTGATTCATGTTTCCAGTGAGAAGAGGGAATAGTGTTCATCAGTCGTCTAGAAGTGACTGGGAAACAACAGCACGGTCAGCTCATGCCCTTCATCCACAGAGGGTGTCGAAATGGAAGAGAAGGGAATGGGAGTGTCTGTTATCAGTCTGAGAGAAATAGTGTGTAGTAAAGAAAATTGAAAGAATGAAGACATTTAAAGGCAGAGGGAAGAATTGACCCTAATGGATTGAAAGTCGACAAAGAGTCAATTAAAAGGAAAAAAAAAGCTATTGACAAGACCTACAGAGGAGGAGAGAATGATTAGAACTCGGAGTAAGTTGAATAGCAGTGAGCGTTCAGGTGATTGTCTTGATGGCCCTCCACTCCCCTGGCCCAACATCTCAGGGGAAGAGGTGCGCATACTGTGGACAGGGGGGTTGTGGCCTGGAGATTTTGGAGGCCCACACGAATGACTTTACTGAGAGGTGTTCTTATGGTTCTTGAGAAAGTCCTCATGGGGGACAGTTGGGAGTTAAGTTCAGAGCCATGAACTTCCACTCTGCCCAAGCTCAAACTCGATGCTTCAGAGAAAATGAGTGAGATGGTGACAGGTTAAGGTCACTGCCCAATTTCAAAGGTAGTTCACAGATTGCTGAGTCCCTTTGAGACTCTTGAGAGGTTCCATTGGAACCCCTAATATAGAGCTTACTTAAATCAGGATAGGAGTAGCTTGTGGTAGATGTTGGCAGGGAGGCGAGTGTATTTTTAACCAGGTTATTAGTCTCTTCTGTGCTCTACTAACTTCCTTGGCAAATTTAAATTTAGAAAGCTAATGGCAATGCTATTCCCCAGACTCCACGGAACACCTTTGTCATCTTCCACTCCCGTCAGCCACTAATGGGACACTAATATATTTTGACATAAAGGGACACGACTGAATTACTTGGCTTTCATTTCATCTCTGTGTGCTTTTTCTCCCCCATGTACTAGTCTGTTTTCATGTTATCGATTTCCCTGTAAAATACTAGGTAGGAGGAAACCCAGAAGAACCGTGACACCAGCCAGGCTAGACAGTATTCACCCAGAGGAAGCCCAACAGCTTGTCACAAGTGTCTAGGAGGCTCCTGTATATGCCTCAAACATCTTCCAATACCTGGTATTAGCAGATGCTGTGGCTTATTAGGCAGAACCTTATCTAAGAGCAGAATCTTCAGAATAATAATTATACTGATAATAGCTAATATCTATTGAGCACTTACAATGTGCCAGCCAGTTTTCTAAGCACATCACCTGCATTGGCTCATTCAATTCGTATAATATCCCTATGAGGTGAAGACTGTTATTATCTCTTCACCCACGAGGAAACTGAAGCACAGAGTTTCCTGATTAACCAATAAGGGGAAGAGCTTTCCTTCCAATCCAGGCCATCTGACTCGGAATCTGAGCTGCCCCTTTGTCGAGTTGCTTTCCTTAGCTACTGTTTACACTGAGGCACAGAATAATTCCAAGAGGTTTTCCACCATGGTCTCCGGGATTGAAGGCTTTGAAATTTGCTGATGGGCCTCATCAATGGCAACATTTGATGGCAGGCCAAACCTGATCAGTAAACTGGGTTTAAGTAACCTGCTGCTGGCAGGAATGGGGGATGTGTTGTCGGCAGAAGACGGGAGCTGAGAACAAGACAGTGCTTGTGTAAGAAGTTGGATAGAAAAGCGTGACAAGTGGTTAGAGAGAGTCTCTGTTCTCTTCCATCTTGCTTAGCTGATCATTCCAGAGATGAAATGAGATACTATGTGAATTCATGTGGGATCTGAAAGCTCTGTTCAAATGAAAGTTTCTGTTGTTCATCCACAGTGTGCCCGCCCTTAAGTCAGGAAGATTGGTGGGAGGCTGTGGTTCAGGAGGCAACAGTGTGTGGTGGGAATTGGTGGGCAGAGATGACAGGCTGGGAGGCAGAAGGCTGTTGACAGGGAATTTGATAAAGGTGACACACACTTGTTAGCCCTGGGGAGCTCCCTGGAGGAGGGTTACAGTGACTGGATCCATTCTCTGGTTCCTATTTCCCACTCTGTTGCTACTGCTGTAGCCAGGTCTTAGTCTTGGAAGCTCCAGTCCACAGGAGAAGACAAGAGGTCACTCTCAGTGATCTGCTATTATCTCAAATATTGTATAGGGAGAGATCTTTCTACCTCTATCCTCACCCATCTCCCATTACAGAGTATGGTGGGCCACCACATTCTATGGTTCCAGTTTCCCTCTTATCTGCTATGCTTGCAGGAAAATATTTACTAATTACAGTCCATGCAGATCACTGGGGTGAACTTGGAAATAAAAGGATTAGACCCCTCTGTATTTCAGGATAAGCATTTGGTATGAACATTGTTTGGTCACTCTGTTAACCTCTGAAAATCTTTCCCATCTACTCCCATCTAATACCTAACACTGCTATAATTCCTATTTTTACTCTTGTCCTGAGTTATCATCATTCATTTATATATTGACATACTTTTAAAATAATTATATTATTTTTCTAAAAATGATGGCACTTAATGTAAAATAATTGCCAAATCCCATCACATGGAGATGACCACTTGGGACCAGCTCATTGAACATTTTCTCCAGACATTTCTCTACGTATACAGACTCCAAGGTTCCACAGTGTACATGAAGGAGATTCCCCCATGTATAATTTCCCATGACTTTTTTCACTTACCAGTATGTTGTTGTCAGACGTTTCCCTAGATAAATGTAGATCTACACAATCATGTAATATTTGCCCAGCATTCTCTTGTTTGAATGTACCAGTTTACTAAACCACCCCCATGATTGTCGATTGATAAAGAAAAGACTGTGAGCACATCACTGAGCTCATCTGATTCCGTGAATCCAGGCTCTAGGCTTGGCAGTCAAATCCGTGGGATTCTTGGCATCATATAATATAAGGAACATGAAACCATTGAGTGAAAAGTCCAAGGCTCTGCTCCCAGCTCTGCCACTTAGTAGCTATGTGACCATGAATTCACTTTATCTTTCTGAACCTCAGTTTTCCTATCTGTAACTGATGGTGTGGGCATGCATGATATTTAAAGTGTATTCCACTAATTTACAAAGCTGCTGTCAAACCATACCTCCTTAAATACTTAATTATTTATGTCAGTTGCCTGTCAATGTCCAGCACAATGCCTAATACAAAGTAGACACCCAGCAAACACGCTTTGGCTGAATGACCAATGCAACTGTTATATCTGGCTTCTCAACTTCCCCTCAGAAACACCCATCTCATTGTTTAGTATACCAGTAGGCTTAATTTTTAATTCAGTAAACTATAGACATTTTTATCTGTTCACCATCTCTAGAATTCATGCACTTATATATAAATGTGTGTGTATGTGTGTGCGTATGTGCGTGTATGTGTGTGTATGTGTGTGTGTGTGTGTGTGTGTGTGTGTGTGTGTGTGTGTTTCGGGGAGAGAACTATGTATGGATGTACACATATATCTATACATGGGAGTATGTGTTTTACTTTGGGCATGAGTAGAGTGGGAATCTATATGGAGAGAGTTAACTATACTTTGCCCTAAAATGTGGTTTTAGACAAGAGAATTAGATTAAGTTATTTTTCCTCTACCTCTAACAGAGTTGTAATGAAATTAAATACACTCACTCACGCACGTGTGTGTGTGTGTGTGTGTGTGTGTGTGTGTGTGTGTTTGAGGTGGGAGTAGCAGTATTCTGACAAATTTTTTAAAAGTATCATTTCTTCCTTCCATCCATCCTTTCCTTTTTTCTTTCTTTTCCTCTCCTCTCCCAACCTCCCTTCTCTCCTTCCTTCCCTTTTATCTTTTCCCTTCCTCCCTGCCCCCTTTTTTTCACCTTCCCCTTCACTTCCCCTTCCCGTTTTCCTTCCTCCGTTGCATACCCTGTAGCGCCCTACGCTGGCCCCCCCCTAGGGGCCACCA